GTTGGAGTGAACTTGTCGAATGCTTCAGCAATGATTCCAAACGCTAAACAATTCAGACGACACCATATTATGCGACGACACAGACACATGGCAGTCATGATTGTCAGCTAAAAAAATCACAGAAGGCCCATCAATTGTCAAAATAGATTTCATGCCCGTAACATGAACATTTTCTTGCCTTTGAGTTCCTGGTATATGTTTTCAACATGCATGAGTACTTGTGGAAGGCAAAATATGTTGAACGTCAGTGATCAATAATTTATTGTGACCTCGCTTTAGGTAAGGCCCATTAAGATACCACAACGGACAAGCTGAGGTTCGAATGCACAGCATGTACTTGGTTGGGAACGCCATCGGGTTGAACTGCCTCATTGTTGACGACAGATCGACACGGCCGGGACCGTGGGCAAGGCGTCGCAGCACCTGTCTGACCGCGGTTAGGCGTTTAGTTGACATCAATCTACGATGTAGCCTCGCCCCCTTGATCACGACCTGGACAGCATTGCGAGAAATACCGGTCACTTTGGCGATATTCCTCAACTCAAATGTCTCGGTGATGCCAGCCCAACTCCGCCCCTGCGTTCATGCGCCAGCAATATGAAGAGGAGCAGCTCAAGTTGGAAGAGGTCACAAACATTGGTCTCACAGCGGCCTTGTCGCGGAAAGTCGTTGATGCGTGATTGAGAGAGCGATGCATAATGCCTCGAATACAGTTCCATGGTGTCAGTGCCATCTGCACGTGATTGTACTCGCTGCATGAATTTCTCGCAATGTTGTCCAAGTCGTGACCAAGGGGACGAGACTACATCGTGGATTGATGTCGACTAAACGTCTAACCGCGGTCGGACAGGTGCTGCGACGTCTTACCCAGCGTCCCGGCCGTGTCGATCATGTCGTCAAAAATGAGGCAGTTCAACCCGCTGGCGTTCCCAACCATGTACATGCGGTCGATTTCGTTCGCCTTGATGGGTTGCTTGATAACCATGGCAAGACCAACGTTCTCACTGCTTTCCTTGCCCACGAGCCACTCGCGGAACTTCTTGGCGCGGGCGACACCACGATAAACCGCAATGGCGCGGGCGCACAGCTGGTCGTACGAAGCACATGAATCACAGATAACTCCATGAATCGTCCACGAGTTGGCACTTGAGAGTCAAAGATGGGCACTCGAGATCATTCGCTGTTCCAACGTATGTCGACACTTTACTCGGGGACGTATGTACTGTAGGAACTCCAGGTGGATCCATTCGCAACGAAAGGGGGACATAAGATCCGACGAGTCCATGCATATCTGGTTTTACAAACAATGTATCTGCCCGGAGTAACAAGTTGAGCGACTCCACATCGTAGATTGCAACCTGTGCGTGAAATGTTAAATCGAATTTTATGATGCTGTTGCCTACAGAGAAGAACAAGTGAGCCAGTTCTGCCTACAAAGTAGAATTATCTCGATAAAGCTTGATCCAAAACATCGGAAAATATTACTCATTGATAGGGGGTGTCTACAGTACAATACAGTTTGTGAGTGTGCTTGAATATGTCTACAATTAGGATGATGGTTGAATTGACCCAGTTTGACGCTATTTATATGCGCACTTCACTTTACATTTTCTAAATGTAAATGTCACATTTACAATCCAAACAAGTCTTGCGGGGAATTGGCCAATGAATTGGCAACGTCGTGGCGCAAATCATGACAAAATTGGTTTACCGCGGATCATGCCAAGGGTACCAAGCTCACAGGCATCGAAATGGACCAATTTTTCCCGTGGAAGCTCGAAAACATATAAAATCGTGAGATTGGACGTCGACATAAACGATCTGAGTCATTAGTGCGTTTGTGCCTGAATCTCCGGGCTCGTAGGGTAAGAAGAAGCGGTCGGGAAGGCGCGTCATGTTAACGAAGTGTGACATACGTTGCAATTACCGCACCGCAATCGTCCACAAATTGTCAGTGCAAAAGCCAAGACTCTGTCGGCCCGGGTAACTGCTGTATTCCAACATGACAACGCATATTTCCACGCTTCCAAGGGGTCAAAGGAGTTTTTGAAGACTCGGACGACCTCCTCATGGGCCAGCATAGCGAGAATCCCGACTTGAACGTTATTGAGAACGTTTGGGGTACTCTAGTCAGCCATTTTACGAGGGTAGGGGTCAATTTGACAATGTGTCCGATTTGAAGCGGCAAATTGCTCTGCCGTTACTGACTACTTGAAGGCGCTTGCCGGTATAACCATTCACATACGTTTTTCGGCTGCAGAAGCAAACGGCTTTTCGTGAAGCCATTTGTAACGATGATTTCTCTACAATGGCCCCATGACACTTACAACCAAAGGTTCTAAAACACATGTTGAGTTCTTGAGCAATGGCTCCAAAACGCAAAACAATTCAGAAGACACCAATTCATGCGACGCCACTGACACATGACAGCCAAGATTGCCAGCAAAATTTCAGAAGGCCCATCATTGCCAAACTTGATCAGTTCAGTCAGATATAGTTCCCAGACTCTCGCTCGTGCACGACATGAACATGAATGACTAGGTCAAAATATTGGCACTTCCAAGGTATCGACCGGCCCATCTGGCTTGCCCTTCACAATGAAATGAATTGGTAGTAAACAGATAATCATCCACGTTGAAATGTCACGCAGCGTTGTGTCGCGAAAGTTGTCCAAAAATGTATCGGCAAATTTCGTCTTGGTCTCGGCTAGAATTCCCCCCTGAGTGACTTTGCGTGGCAAAGTATTTACTGGGACAATCGGAAGCGGGCTGATAATTGTTGTCATAGTCAAGCATGCGCGGATTACTTTGTAGCCAAGTAGTATTCAAGCCAGTCCATGGGGTGGTTCTTCACGAACGTGGTGAGATGACCATGTGTCAGGTTGCGCTCCTCCTAACAGACCTTATCGATAAATTGAAGGCGTTCCGAGGCAAATTGAAGGGTACCATGGCGCCCATGGCCTCCCAGCGTGTATGTACTTCTTTGCGTTGCCCTTTCGGTTCAACCCGTTGCGCCACACCTTCCAGTCAATGTTTGAACCTTTGCGTATTCTATGGATGACATGGTGCTTGGATCGAATCCCACGATGTAATTCTTGCGCTAAGCGTTGGTGTACCTGGTGCAGACCATTGATCGATGTTGATTTGAAGGACTCGATTTTGCCAGGACTTTGAACCAGCCAATGAGAACAATTCAACATAGATTTTATGCCCACAACATGAATATTTTATTACCTTTGAGTTCCTGTTAATCAGTAAGCTTTCATCATCGATGAATACATGTTGAAGGCGAAATATGTCGAACGTCTTTGATCAAGACTTTTTTGTGATCTCTTTTTAAGTAACGATCAGTTGGATACCACAACGGACATTATAATGTTCCGGCGCAGGACTATATGGCGTATCGAACATCGACGTCACGTTCCCTGTACCACTCGGGCTACGGGCAGAAGCTCTACTTCGTGATCTGTTCTTCGTATTGCTTGTGAAGTTGCTGTTACTGCAGCATTGTATGTTCCAAAATATGACGGTTTGACTATTGTTACAACGAAGATTACAGTCAACGGGGAAAATACTCGCAAGCGTTGTACTCGCGAGTATTTGGAGATTATATGCATCAAGTGCACCCATAAACAGTGAGTAAAAAAGATTCATGGATGACGTTACCCATCGAATTCTGACATGAGACCACTGATTAGCCAACGCAATATAGAAAATATGCAATTTATATTCTTGACCAGGACGGGGATCGAGACTCTTTTTGCCAATTGAAATGAAAAGTACCCTTATTTTGCAAGCAAGGACAGTCCCAGGATACTTCCGCGACGTTTGGCATAGTGATTAGGGTAAGCTAGCGAAAGGTTATCTACCTTGTCAAAGTAGCACATTGCGTGTGTGGGGTTTAGCATGGGATCCCCACCAGGATAGTGTGACACTGTTTTTTAGAAACCCGAGATGCCCGTACATTCATCCATACATTATTATTCAAGAATGTAATGACAAATGCCAGTTCAACGTCACAACTGGAAAATGCAAGAAATTGCCTTCTCGAACGACTTCTTCACCGCATCCACACTGATGGACTCCCAAGCCTTGATGGTTTGTTCGACCATTTTTCTTCTCTTCTTGGCTGCAGATACGACAAGTTCCCCCA